TATATATAAAAAACACAGAAAAGACCTAAATGTTTTTGTTTTTATTTAATTGCCATCACGTCGCGAGCTCCGCCGTCATGGTTTAACAGCTGATCACAAACGTGAGCCCAAAAACGGCCATCCTTTAAAAACAAGGGTTTACAACAACTCAAGACATAAAATATATGGAGGACTTACCGATATGAATGCAGATAAAAAACGGCTTTTTGAACCCAAGAACAAAGCAAGACAATGGCAGGTCCGAACCCAACACACAAAACCCTCCCGGATGGCAAGAGAAGAGACTGCTGCGCCAGTGCGCCTGAGCGGAAGAAGAACGGGGGAAAAAACAATGGATCAGTCCATTATAGGGGAGTGCGGGGCTTAGAGAGGTGGCTTGTTCATAAAATCACGCAAACTGTACATTTAAAACTATAATTTCGCCTATTTAAGTATTTAAAATATTATAAAATATGCGTAGAGTCACTAATTTGCTCGTGTTTCTGCTTATATGGAAGTGTAAAAAACAGATCACCCCTCTCTGCTGACAGTGATTCGTAAGCCCGATGGCTCTGGTCATACCCATAGACTGTATAAAAACATAACATTGTTATTAAGCCTCTCATCAAAAAACCACAACTTGACCCCAAAGAACTAGTTAATTACAGACCGATCTCGAATCTCCCTTTTCTGTCCAAAATACTAGAAATGTGATTTCTTTATCGCCAAGTGCAAACCATAAAAGCATTCAGTTCAATGGGGTCAACTCGCAAACATATTTTTGGAATTTTCTTATAATTTATATTTTGGAGTTTATGCTAAATATATGACTTTTATACTTTAAAATAATACAGGCATGGTTTCACTCTGACACTTTGATTAAAGGGGGTAACAATGATGTTTCATGCATTCAGAGTTGTTTACATTTAGTCATTTAGCAGACGCTTTTATCCAAAGTGACTTACAAAACACTGTTAAAGAGTTGGATTCTCATGCTAAACATGGCCAAAGTAAAAAAAAAAAAAAAAAACATTTG